CAGGCCGGCTTTGAAAATATGTCTGCATTATTTACTTAGGAATTTTACTTGGGTAATAGAAAACAAACATGAGTTAAATTCTTGGAAGAAAACCCTATTGCCAACAACAGATCAGAGGAGGATAACATTCTGGACAGGGTTTAGAGTTTACAGAGAGGATTAGCTGTTCTGAGGATCAAATATAGAACAGAAATTGGATTTGTAGGCTGTGTTTTTACCCATCCTATCTGAAAGCAAAATATAATGTGATTAGTTATAAGCTGGTAGGTTGCAGAGTATATGCACTGTGGTCCCTTAGAAATATCTCCATCACGATCCTTAATATTGAACTGCCCCTCTGAGTGGGAAAGCCAGCCAGAGGAGCAGGGCTCTTAATCCCTACTCCTTCTGAGAGTGCTTGCAAAATCCTTGTCCCTGAGCAGTTGTGGATAGTATGGATTAAGAGACAACAGCCCCTTATTTCAGAGAAAGATGTTTCTAAAAAATGTGGCACTGTTTCCAGGAAAGAAACCAGTCCCACAGACCTGAGCTCTGGGCCAGGAACCAGGCATCTTCACCGAGTCATGCTGTCCTACTTCGCAGTCACTGCATTCTTCATCAAAATATTATTTCCACTCCAAAAAGCCTCAGTTATTATTCATTCTGCTTCCCACCCACCCTCCCCCTCCCCCCTTTGCTTCATGTTACTTTCCAAGGCAGGCAGTCAGTATTCCCCACTTAAATCAAATGGCTACTTCTTGGTCTTGACGGAGAGTCATTTAAATGATCAAACTGAGCGTTCAGCAAAGACTAGTTTTTGTGTCATTTTTTTCTACACATGGTGGAAGTTTTGTTAAGAGTAGCACGGACAGAAATATGAAATTATATTAACTCTCAAACGAGGCAGATGAATTGTCTGCAGATGATGTGTAGTTTTTTGAGGAATACGTTCTTTTTCCTCCTGGCACAAATCCAAGGGAGACGCAATTAACAGGGTTTATCTGCGGCTGATTTTCTCTGTGGCCTTTAGTCATCAATCTGCAGGCTGAAGCAGAGGCCCGTTTCCCTTTCCCATGTGTTGTATCGCCTCTGTGACTAATGCTTGCACGATTTTGGCTCTGCCTTTTCTTTCAGAAATGACACTGGCAAATGAGTGTCTTGTGTTGTCTGGTCTTGCAGGAGACTCCCATATCACCAGGCAATATTGGAGTCCCTGTGTCCACTCTTTCTCGTAGGAGGTGGGTCAGGAGCTGCACCCCTGACTTCTTCGGGCTGTGCTGACCTGTGTGACTATGCACTTCTTTGACATGCATTATGTCTGTGCCCACGGCACATGCATGATCTTAGCCCATTACCACAGCTGTGGAAACTACTGTGGTCTCCAGCCACTGGCCTCTGTTATGCTCCGTAGTGAGGTGTCAGCCCTGTCATCAGCAGTGATTTCTTCCATCGCTGGGCATTAGTGCAGGCAGTGAGGTGCTGTAAGAAACGCTGCAGCAGTGGATGGGAACAGTGACCTAAGCAAGATGATGACTGTGGGTCAGAGACAGCTCAGACTGGTCTGGAGGGAGATGAAGTCCCTCACTGCTGACGGTGGGTCTGGATCAGACCCACCAACAGTGCCAGCAAAGTATCCTCATGGAGCACTGGGCTGAAGGGCAGTGCTTCAGGATGTCTGCCCAAGTAAGGACATCTTCACAGAACAGGGTAAGATACTCGCTTCTCCACCCAGTGCCAACAGGGCTGCCTATCCTCAAAACTGCAGGTCAACCATCTGCCCTGGTCACGGAAGAAACCATGTGTCCCAAATGTCACTCTCTTGCCCTCATGTTGCTAATGTCCCTGCAATGATAATGGACTTTGGGTAAATAGGATTCCTATACTGTGCTGGAGCCATCAATAGTACACGGTACTGTCCTCCCGCCTCTCCAAAATACATTCCAATTGTATTCCATCAGTGCAATTAACATCGACTTCATTTGGAACATAAACCTGCAGGCAATAACAGGAACAATTGGGTATTGCTGGGAAACGTCTGAGGCTGGCTGCTTTGTTTTAGAACAGAAAGAAGTTGGTCAGAAAGCTCAGCAGGTTGCAATAGAAGAAAACTTCAGTAGCATATGCTCTTTGATTAAAAAAAACCCAACCAGCTGAGGACAACCACCCTGAGATGAGTATCAAAGTGCGGTGGATGATTCACAAATCCACTTTTAGAAAACTTAAGCAAAAATGCCAAGTATGGAAAGCTAAAAAGCATGTATGGAGATAGCTCATAATCTAGAAAATAGTATCTACAGTCTTTGTTTTGCTTCCCACTCTTTCACTATCACATGGAGTAAAGGAAGCATTAAAATTCACCCTTAATGCATTGAAAGCTTCTGCTGCTTTCTCTGAGTCAGGTTGGCTTTCTTACCTTTAATGTTTTGTGGGGTTTTGGGGGTGGGTTTGGTTTTTTTTTTAATCTTTTCTTCTCTTATCTGTTCCAGTCAATAATAATTGATTTCCAGAAAAAGAAACCTCAATACCTGAAATAGCACTCCCGGCACATCACAAGCCTTTACCCTCTGTTCAGCCACAATTAACATCATCTCCTCAGTTACTGCGTGTACCAGTTATTGTACCCTCTGATACTCTGTCAGATGATTTTAGCAGCTATCACTCACCAGAGTGATAGGACGCTGTGTTTTGCTAGGAGCAGGTTTTCAGCCCTATCTGAGCTCAGTTGGCAATGTTTTAGTTCTTTGATTGCTGCTGTATTTTTATAACCAAGGGTCAATCACTGGGCAAAGCAGGCTTTTAAAACACATCTGGGCATTAATCCCACCCATTTCCCCAGTAGCAGTTACTAACTACCTCAGCAATCAGGTGTCGTGATGTTTTATAAAGTAAAGATGTTGCCTGGTGTAATCGCATCTGGGATGGAAAATGGGGAAGGTGGGTGTGCGTGCACATGTCGGTCACAACCACCTCTCGAAGTGACCAATATGGCGCTCTTCTCTACCACAAAACCCCTGAGTCTTCCCTCAGGAGCAAGGGGGCTCCTCATCACTTATGGAAACTGAGGTCTGAAGCCTTGCTTCAGCATCAGCTCGACTGCCGGTGTGTTGCACCCCAGGCACAACAGGATCCAGCCAGTCCGGCCAGACCTTTTCTCCTGGCACTCTCAATACTTGAGGCTCACCATGTCCTGAGCTGTGAGCAGGCCTTAGCAGCTCCTCACTGGCAGAGCCTCCCATGGGCTTTGCTCACGGCAGAGGTCTGGTCAGCACCCCGCAAGACCCCTGGGTGAGGGATTTCCCCTGGTGCCTGAGAGGCATCTTAGAAAAGGCACGTGGGAAACGTTCTATCAAAACACCATTGTAATTTAGGAAGTAAAGCACTCAAAGGCCTGGAGTGCTTTACTTCCTAAATCACACAACACTGCTGGAGTGAGGCATAATTAACTCCTAACACCTATGCCTTTCAGAAGTCTTTAATTAGATGATGACAAGCTATTTTTCCAGCATGGTCCTCACCTTGCATGAGGCCTGCTAACCGACCAGACCTAGGGAGGGCCTACAGCCCCCACTGCCTTCAACCCCCGCTGCCCACAGCCCCTGCCTCCTCCTGACAGCACGGCAAGGCAATGAAAGCAAACCGTTGGAAGGCCATCCCCGGTGACATGTTCCTCATTTTCTGGGTCACAAGCCTCTAGGCTGATCTGTGGGCGTGCACATCCCCTCTGCCTGAGAACATGGGATGAAGTAGGTGGTTATGAGGGGTGGAAAGTAGCGTTTCCAGCAAGGTGCCCACAAGGACAGGAGACTTTTGACCTTGATCTCCCTGTGCCTCAGACCTCATCTGCAAATTATCATTTCCTTGCTCCTCCTCAGTTTTGCCATTAGGTCTCCACAAGTCCCTTTGAGCTGCTGCATCCTGAACCCAAAGGCTCTGTGGCTATTTCTTCTCTGGGGTGAGAGGGGGCTGAGCTCCAGCACTGATCATGGAACCTGCCTCTGCTCCGCACTGCCACTTCCCCCAGCTCCCCACAGCAAACTGGTACCCACAGCCTGTGTCCGCCCCATCAGCCAGCAGCCCTCAGACAAATCAGCCCTCAGAGAAGTCAGCCCTATGGCTCACTGCTGTTCCTGACGTTGAGAAGATAAGCTGGGGCCAGCTGCAATGAGACATTTTATTTCCATGGTGGTTTCAAAGACTCCACCACAGACAATTCAAGGCACAGAGGAGAGGCTTCCTGACCCCCACCCCAGCTACAGAAGAGCTTCTCAACCAGGGATCACCATCTCCCACACACCCTGACAGACATGGGAGTCTCAGGGAAAATCATGGCGTGAAATCACATCATTGAAGGCCACATCACAAGAGGGTTCAAGGGGATGTGCTCCCAGACCCACCGCTCAAAGAGGCTTCTCCACATAGGAGTTGCCTGGCATGCATGGAAGGGCAGGGAGATGAAGGGGGCATGGGAAGGTAACAGCAGCAAATTTTTTAAATCAAGGTCCAAACTCTGGCCTAACAAAAAAAAAGCCTCACAGACTGTAGGAAATTTGACACAACTGTTGGGAAAAAAGGCCTCTCTTCTGTTTAAAGCTATCTTAAGCTGGTGTAGTCCAAAAAGCAGTGTCCTTTTATACCATCCAAGGTGCTCCCCACATCTGGGCTGTTTTCTTACTAAATCTTGGCTCTCACATCCTTAAATTTGCAGTTGTTATCATCCTCCAGCAATACTGCATTATGAGATACCTTTTGCTCTCCGTTCACATACATTATTGCTCTACTTCTGAACAGTGCAATTAGGTCTCCAGAGCTTGCTTGCTTTATCGAAAAAAGCACAGGTACTACACAGGAGTAGGGAAATATTCCAGATCACAAGACAAATCAGATAATTGAAGTGGTAGATTGGGCCTTAAAATTAGCCCAGCTCATGCCTGAATAGAGTTCATATCTCACTGGGAACTAACTGTCCTTTCTCTTCTTTGTCTTTATTTTTTTTTTTTCCCTGCTGCTGTTCGGTTTGGAAGGTGATCTTTAGTAAATACTGCAACTCCAAAGATATTATGGACCTCTTCTGCATCGCAACAGGGTTACCAAGGTAGGTCTCTCATTTAATTTGTGACATGCACTTCACTTTTGTTCCTTTAGTTCTGGGGAAAATGTAAAGACAGGCCCCAAATGATACAGTTACCGGCTATTTAGGCTTCTCTCTCATTCCAGTGTGATGGAAGAAGAAATTGAGGTAAACCAGATAGCACCAGCTGGAAAAGTGCACAAAGTCCTGGCAGGCATTTAGCTGCCTCGATGCCGGGTATGCCTGAGGAATGAGTGGGACAGAGTAGAATAGAAGACATATAGTCTAAAAAAACAAAAGCAAGTGCAGAAGCCCAGCCTTGAGAGCATATGGGTTGTGTGCACCTACCAGTTATCCTTCAGCACTACATTTTTGCCCATACTGAGTGAAACACAACCATATGTTTAGAACCTGTGTTTTTAGGGAAAAACTCTGGGGCCAATGAGAAGCATTGCCACTAGGGGATAAGCTCTATATTTAGATGCAGTACAATCTAATCCCAGGTATTGGATATTCAAACACAAAGTACCCCAGCAGAATTGTTCTATAGAACATAATATCCCCAAACTCATTGCCCAGGCCAAATATTTCCTAATTTACATTGTCCTGTGAAATCTATGCATCTCTCCTGCGGTAATTTCATGTAGGGTTTGTTTCTCTTACCCTCAACCTAGAGAGCAACATGGAACTTCAATCTCTGTGTTGCGAGGGATCCAGGGTTGAGCGTCGGTGTATGTTGAGGTGGGAGAGGCTGGCATGTGGTGGAGGTTGGCATAGTGTAGCACCCAGCCGCTTCGGTACCATCTGTCCACTGTGGTGGTACAGGGGAAGGGCAGCCCCTTATCCACATCTAGAAGGGGGGGGTGGGGTCTGCTGTGTGCGTACGGGCCCTGAGCAGCAAAGGCCAGATGCACAGCAGCATGCAATAAGCCGTAGTCTTTACCTTTGCACATACACGTTTACAATACAGAGAAAGCACAGGAAAAAACAAGCAAATCCTTTAATCATGGGTTTAGCGCATGACTCCAGCTCTGGGGATTTAAAGATAAAATTGTCTATATTGACTCAGAATTTGCATAAAATGCTGGAGAGAATTAATGTCCTTCACTGTTTATCCTTGCTTTTTCCTCCCATTTGACATTAGAGAGGTTCATAACTCTCATTTGCCTGTGATGTCAAATACTTCCACTTCATCACCCAGGAAACTTGGTTTAGCAATTTTAGTCATTCACGATCAGGTTGTTCACTGCTTATTGGTATTTTATTTTTCTCAGAAGTCTTCCAAAGAACTTCTCATTTCAGTCAGGCTCCTGGACCCAGAGTAAACCTCCAAGGTGTGCGTCTGAGCCTATGAGATCACACAGTATAAAAAAAAAGTCCTGTATTTAGCAAGACATTTGTTTTGTTTGTTCTGGTAAAGGAGTAACTAGACAATTTCAAGACATTCATAGCACCAGTAGTCATTTGTGTAGTGTGAGTCAATACATGGCAGCCTAGTCAATGTATCACAAAATACAGCATTTCGATAGAAATTATTAGTTGATGAGTCAAGAGAATACATGAGCTAGCAGAGAGCAAAGTCTGCTCTGAGATCAAAGATGATTACACTTAACATTTTGCCAGAAGCATCTCTGGTAATTGAAATGGGCGAAGCATCAAGCCTACCCCATCCTGCGCTTTGACCCTTTCTGCACCAAGTTAAAATGGGACCGAGAAAGGGCCAGGGCCAGGAGTGCTGCTGGAGAGAAGATGGCTGTGCACCATATGCAGCTGCACAGATTCTTCAGCCAGCACTTTGAGGTCAAATAAACCTCTTTGAAACATGCTTTTCAGGAACACAACGATCTCCCTTTTGACAGCTGACAATTGTATGGTATCCATTGATCCAACAATGCCTGCAAACTCCGAGAGGTAGGCCTTGCTGCAACCGGCTCTTCAAAAATGGGGTCAAGCCCAAGCGAAGGGGTGGTGGTTGCCTGCAGATGCCTTTTGTGTGCAGCGGGAGGTGAGCAGCTCCCCAGAGGGAGGGAGATGACAGTAAGAATTGCATGCTGGCTTATAGCACTAATGCCTGCTGGGTTTGAAGACTTTTACTTGTTGTTAAAGTAGGTGTAATTGTCTGAGGAAAAAATACCGCTTTTAAGTATTTAATGTAGAACATCTGTTCCCATCCCACCCCGTTTGCTGTCAAGGCTTCCAGCTCCTTTGTTCCCCTAGCCCTTTATTTCTCTGCTGGGACACAACCGTGACGCTACCTGCAAAGTGAAGACAAAGTCTCTGATGAGGTTAGGTCTCCTCCATGCTGGCTTTGGCCTTCCTGCCTCCAAATCCATTTCTCTTTTTTCCTTGGCTTCCTGTTGCTTGCTCAGCCTGGCACTTCTAGTTTCACTCTGACTGCTCAGACCCCCCTCTGACCCACAAAATTTCCTCACCATCCCAGTCTGCAAGCTATCAAAGCTTGCCAAAGAGGAGGCATTTTTACCATGTTTGTTGCGTGACCGTACGGCACATGAAAGATCTCTTTGTCTTCAGTTCAGTAGCACATAGGAAGGTCGCGTGTTCATAAAAAGTGCCAGTTGCTTATTTAAGCTGGCAGATATTGAGAGGGTTTAGATACTTCTTCCTACTTCTCAGGGAGTACAGAGGTGAAACACAAATTGCTTTCTTACTGGGTGTTGCTAACATCAACCTTTTCTGACTCTTCCAGGTCTCCATACAAAGTGATACCTGTCGCCACTGGGCAGCTCTCAGGTAAAATGACCCTTTTGAACTGAATTTACTAAGGCTGAATTTGCAAACATTTGCCTGTGGAAGTCACATGACTGCAGCACAAGAAAGAAAGATGACATTGTTGTGGTTGTAGCTACAGCAGAATAAGAAGTGTCTGATCACAGTGTTCTGGAGGAAAGCTGAAGAATTGTCCCTAAGTTTCAAAGTATTTGAGGGTGAGGTGGAAAGGCTGGGGTCCAGGATACTTTCACAGTGCTTAGCTCTGGTCTGAGTCAGCATCACTGATCTCCTGGGGAAAGTCTCACATGGAGCACTGTTCAGGAAGGCAACACAGACTGTGTTTGAAAGCCTGTCCTGCAGTGTTTTGTTAAACGTGTTCGTCTCCCAGCCAGGCTCTGCTGAAAGCTGAGCACAACATCTGAACCCCATGTTATTTCCAAATGGCTGAGGAGAGAGCATAATTTCTGTTGTGGGCATGGTAGCTCTAAGTGTAATAAATATCTAAATGCACCTGACAAGATTAAAGGCAGCCTGGATGAAAGAACACATCTGGAACACATTCCCCAGTGCACAGCGCTGTTGTACTCCACGGGCAGGACTTAAGTGGCACTTCGACCATTTCTCTTTGCCAGCGTCGTGGTCATGCCAGTAGCTCTCAGACACTGGAGCAGAGCATTTGCCTGGGGCAATTCCTGTAGAGCATCTGTCTCACAGTCCCTCTCATCCGTACAGCTGCAGTATCTGCTGCCGCTCGCTCCAAGGCAGCCGGAGCAAGAGCCCTAACCTGTACGCTGCGGAGCTATAGGGAGAGGCTGGGGCAGGGGCTGCAGAAGGGGAGGAGTTGTCAGCTGGGGACAGTTTGGAGCAGTAAAATGGGAAGATAGGAGAGGCAAGGAGCAAAAGGTTAAGATTATATTAGAAACGTAGAGTACACAGAAAGAACAGGAGGGAGCCAGAAAGTCTGAGGCTGGAAAAAGTAGTTTGCGGGAATGGGTGAGGCTCTTGGGACCCAGACAAGGCAGTTTTGCTGGTCCCATCTCGTTGTCTCACTAATGTTAATTGCAGGTCCCACCTCTTCTTCTTGCTTAGGCTCCTGTGTTACACAAAAACCCCACAGTGTCTCACAGCACTGTCTTTTTTTAGATGGGGAGGCACAGGGAACCGAAGCCACCCTCTGAGGTACCTGCATCCGCTGCAGCAGAAACATCTGTAGGAAAAGGGCAGAGCGAGGCAATGCAGGAGGGTGTGCGGGGGGGCGGAGGGGCAACAGCAGGCAGCTGGTCCATGCGGAGAGCAAAGGCAAACAGCAAAAAAGAACAAAGAAGCTAGGAAACTGGTAAGAACTTTGTCACAGTAAGATTTGTTACAAGCCAACAGGTCCCATGTTAGTGATTGCCGCTGTTGCCAGAAGGAGGTGGTCAAAGCTGAGGGATGCACATGACTGGTAAGGGGAAAGAAGTTGTTTCCTAAACTATGTCCTTATTGTAACAAACTCCGCTGAAACAGCATCACTCTTCTGGTCCAGGAGTACGCTAATTGCTTTATCAGATCAGAACAGGTGGGGCCTTAAGTGGTGCATGTTTCTCTGTGTACCGAGTGGTGTGGGTACCCCTTAGCCACTTGCCCCAAGACAAAGACTTCCCAAAGGGGCTGCCGGGGAATGCCACCGTGTTATACCAGCTGGGAAGCTGATCCAAGGGCTTTCTAGAAAATCTGTCTTTTTTTTTTTTTTTCCCTAACATGAAGTTAACCATATATTTTTATAAGATCATGTATGACTTTTTGCACTCTCCCAGGGCCCTCATTTTTCACCCCAGCTGACAGCACACAGCTCTGCTTGTGCAGAGTGCAGCTCACTGTGTCAGCAATGTCTGTCTTCCCTCCCTGCATTTTATAAAACAAGGATTTCCACAGATCTAAGCTGAAAAGGGCAAGAAAAATTCTGGTGGTGAGTTGCCATAGCGTAAGACAGACTCTGCTGTGGAAAGAGGAAGAAAGTTGAACTGTGATGGAACTAATGTTCCTTGGTATCTGTTTTTCTTTCACATGGGTTGTCATTAATCTTAAACATTCCTGACATTTTGCTGAGAGTAGGAAGAATAAACAGAGTGGGAAATTGTTCCTCTTCATTAAAAGAAAAAAAAAAAAGAGGCTGTTGTAGCCTTCACTTCTTAAACAACTGTGCCTGCGTGATTCTGCTTCCCAAAACAACTTGTTCAAGTACATGCCAAAAAGGGGTTCACCTCAATTTTCACAGCAGTGGGAGGTTATGCACCTCTTTTCAGAAGTCTCCCAGGCAGCTGGAAAATTGTGATGCATGCTTCAGTGGAACAAAGACTGCAAAAGGTGGGACTGGAAACTACGATCTTTGGGGAGGAAAATATAAGCAGTGACTTTTATCCAGCAGAGGAGATATCCACCGGAGTCCTCCTAAGAAACCATTCTTCATTTCCTGGCCATAGTCATGGGAGAAGGTTGGAATTAAAAAAATTATTATTCCAGTGAGTGTCCATTGGATGCAGCGGTGATTGCCATATCACCACGGGGTCAGCTGTCTGCAAGGCAAAGGCGGGGGCCCCGCTGGCTGGCTCTGAGCCTGTGGGACCATTCCATCATGTGCTGTCCCTCCTCCCACAGCCCCCCACCAGCAGGCTATCCAAGCAGAGCATCAAACCCCTGGTGCCAAACCCTTCCTTCTCTCTGAGGTGTTTAAACTCCCAAGTTAATTGAATGGGCATCTTCTCCCTGCCGACAGCGGAAAGGCTCTGAGCTGCTTCCTGGAGGTGGAACAGGCTCAAAACTCGCAAACTGATGGCTGTGTCATGGCTGTAACGAGAACAGTTCAAGCACTCTGCAGTATTGCTGGAGATGCCAATTAAATGAACAAATCCCACTAGCAGCACACTCTTGAGAAATAAAATTGAAGTCTGTTATGTTTCTGATAGTGCAGTGAAAAGGAACTATTGTGGAGCCCAAGTGAGCCTGATCCACCGTGGTCCCATACAGCAGTGAAACATGCAGAAGGGTTTTCCTACCGCTCCAGAGTTAGGGCAGCAAAACACGCAGGCGGCTGAAGGAGCCCTGAAAGATCTCACCAAGGAGGTCGCCTGAAAGATGTGCCGAGCTTAGCCCCAGCTGTCTGCCTCCAGCTTGTTCCGCTGTGTCCTTCAACATAAGCATCCCCTCATCCCTGCGGAATTGGGAGTGGAAACCCAAAGGGAGCAGTGCCCGATCAGGACGGAGGCCAACATGCGGGGAGAGCTTGCCACCTGACAGTCCTTGCTCAGCAACCTCGGTGCTGGGGAACCCCACCAGCATGCTTCACGGCCACTCAGCTGGGCAGAGGCTGTCGGTAGCCCCTTTGCCTCCTGCTTCACTTGCCATCCAGATATTTGCCTTTTCAACTAATGAGCTACCTAGCACTTGCACAGAGGAAAACCCACGGCCTCTCCCCATGGATATCGCCTTGTCGCGGGGGAGCCAGTTCAACCAAAACCTGTGTAGCTGCCTGCTAGAAGACCCACATCTGGGTGCTAGCCCTGCCTTGCCCGCTGCTGAGCCCACCGACAGCGGTCCGTGGGGACCTCTTTTTTCCTCCAAATGATTAAATGTACAAGATTTTGTGCAGATTGCTGTTGGTAAAGCGACAGAAGCTTGTCACTGTGTCTAAATCTTCTCATTCTGGGATGTCTTTCCTTTTGGAGGCATATTCACACTTGCAGCTCAAGCAAGAGAGAAAAGGCAGAGACTGTGAAAGAAAAAAAGCTTGTGCCTGCTGATCCTTACATGCATCCCACATGGATACGTGCATCAGGATGGGGGCAGTTGCTCAACTGCTTCAGGATTACTCACATAGGCAGGGACTTGCATGCGGCAGCCCGAATTAACCTGAGCTGTCAGGAGAATTCGGTGCTTGATATGACGTGATTCACGGATGTGGGCTTGGGCTTTAAGCACACCCCTTCCTGAGGCTTTTGTCCACCTAGCTGTTTCTTTTCTTAAATTCTTCTGATTGCCCAGATCCAAACAAACCACAGAAAGGGAAATACACAGGAGCCTGAGCCAGAGGCACAGGCACACATGAGAAAGAGACCGTGTGGTAGGAATTCACCAGCCTGACGCTGGCAGGTGCCCACATCCTCCCAGTTTGGGCACAGCAGAAATGATGGGGGAAACCAACGCACCCCTATGACCCCAAGCACTCCCTGCTTGCACCCCAGTGAGGCTGTCGGGATGGTGAGGGAAGTCGGGGTTGTGGCTCTCTGGCCGTGATCCCAGCGGGTAAAACGGAAGAAGAAGAGTCACTGCCAAGCGGGGCGGTGCGAAGCAGAGGGTGCATGCCAGTGGGTCATAAGCCATCTGTGTCAGTGCATGTGTAACCCAAGCTGTCCCAGTGTGTCTCTACTCCCTGTGTTGCAGGGAAGGTGGGCGCTCACTGTCCGCCCTCCGATCCGGCTGCGGTGGGAGTCGCAGGAAGAAGTGCTGCTGCCCTATTCCCCCACACCCACTTTCTGCCCAGACCTACTGGAGACGGGGCTGCTGGGCAGGAAGGCAAAGTGGCTCTGTGATGCCCTGGCCAAGCTCCCTGCTGAGCTTGGCAGGGGCAAGCGGATGAGGAGCCAAAGTCTCTGTGCCCACAGCAAGCGCGCGAATAAGCCTTGGGAAGCCAGGGGAGGCCTGAGCTGGCCCATCTCCTGCCCGGCATTACGCCATTGCAGCACCTTCTGGAGGGGGGTTTTCTAATTTTCACTTGTCAGCTCTAAAACACCCTGCGTATTGTTCAAAAATCTGTCTCTCTGAACACCTGCATCTGCAAACGTGGCACACTCGCAGTGCCGGGGGCGGGGGTGAGCTGAGAAGAGGGTCACTGTTGGCTCTTGGGTTACTGCAGGCAGGAGCTGGCGACCCTCGGCAAGGTGCATAGGTTGCAGCTGCCCATGCGACACGCAGAAGGATTTTCTTGTCCCGGAGGGAATAGCAGCCAAACAAATGAAGCAACTGAAGGGAAAAGCCTGCACCTGGGCTATCAGCCCTGCCCAGAGGTATTAAAAAAGAAGACAGAGGGTAATGAGGGGAGTAAAAGGACACCTAGCCTTCCTGTTTTACAAAGGAGTGGAGAAGAGAGACCAGGTGATGTTGGTGTGATGTCTCATTTTCTTCAGAATCAGGGGTTAGCAGAGGTCTTCCCCTCGGAAAAGAACAGGGCAAAGAAATGGATCTTTGTCTCTTTAAGATGAGACGAACTGCCACTCTTAGTCATATATCTTTACTGCACCCTAGGGTTATAAAAACATACATCTTCATTTTGAAAGTCTTTTATTACATCCATAAACATCAGATTGCAGCTGACTGTTCCGTGGATGAGAATGTCCTAGTACTCCAAGTGAGTTTTGACAGGGGGAGGGAGTGAAAGTAAGATTGTTGGGTTTGGTTTTTGGGTTTGTTTTTTTTTTTTTACTGGAACGGTGTTTATAGGGAACGTGTCAGTCTCTGGCATGCTACAGCCACTGTCAGAGAGCTGAGCAGCACCAAAGTGAGAGGACACGGGTTTCTCTGCTTATTCTTACCGTTGGACTTGGGTGCCATCCCAGGTGCTGCATACGGTAAGCTTTCCGCCTGCCTTAAATAGGGCGCCGCGTTTGCTTTTTTTTGGAGCTTGGGTTTTCAAGTGGGTTTGTGAGAAAACTGAAAAATGGGTCTCTGTGAAAAGAACTAATCTCTTCATTTGCTCTGCTAGCCACTCTGCTGGGAGTTGGATCACGGGGGGGGAAACAAGAAGACGGAATTAGATCTGAGGCTTTTGGAGCACAGAGTGCTTGCTCCGGTTTAGAGACACGGGGGTAACAGCCAGATCGCTTTGACCAGAAAAGCAAATGATCTTGACAACTATTTCTGACATCTCTAATACCTGAGGAATTGCAAATCCTTTCAACAGGTACAAGAGCTGTTATTGAGAAATATGTTGTAAATGCCGAGCTCTATTTCTGCCTGAACTGTTTTGCCTGGGCGATTGCACTCGTGAGGCATCATTCTCCCTCGGGCAAGTGCAAGGAGTAGGTTCAGAAATGCCATCGGGGTATTTCTGCGTAGGGCGTAAATGGGTGTTCCGTAATCTGTGGTGATTACATGAGAGCATGCAATGTTTCAATTCCTTGAGCGTGAGAAACCAAGACTACATCCACACTGCAGGCACGGGAACGACTGCAGCACAGTGCAGTTTAAATTAGCTGCTGGGGGGAAGTAGGAGCAATCTCGGAACAACAGCTCACAGCTCAGCAAAGGTGATTTATGCTTTCCCTGTCTGTGTGAATACAGTGTGGACAGACTGAAAGATGTGAAAACATTGCTATCATACTTCTTCCTTCCTTCCTAACACGTACTGTCCCTGGAAATCTAGTGTTTTTTAAGGACTCTTGCTTTTCCCTGCGTTAGGGATTGCAATCCCGTGATGATCTCGGGAAAGGCTAGGGCTTACCAGGCTGACTTTTCCAAGCTGGCTGAAGTGCCTGAGCACTGGAGTTGGCAGTGGGAGGTGGGGAGCTACCGGTTCAAGTGCTCCCAGCATGGCTGCTGCAGCTCGGGCAGCAATGAGATCCCCATGGGTGCTTCCCTGTGGCAGCTATGCCCAAGTTATGCTCTCCAGGGAAAAGGGGTTAGGGAACTTGTGCCCTGCTACGTCCAGCCCAGAAACTGGAAAGCGCAGACCTCGTTCTTCACGGATAATCACTTTGACAGCTCACGTTTTCCTGAAGTTTATGCATAGCAGTACAATCCTTACGAATTTTCTCCAAAAACTTGGTGTCCAGGATAATATCCCAGTGCAAATCTGGAAAACAAGCTGGGTTTTCTTGTGTTGATTAGGTGTTGCGTTGTTCGCGGGCACTGTGGCACGGTGTGCCGATGGTGTAGAGACAGCCGCGTGAGCCAGACCTTTCAAAAGCAGACGGCGATTCTGGCTGTCCCACCCAAGAAATGCGAAAGCGGTTTCCTTTCCAGAGAGTGCTGCCTTAAAACAAGCCACCTCTCAGAGACCCAGCACTCCTTGACTGTAATCTGCAGGCAGAGGAAGGTGGGTGAGACGAGGCGTCATTCCCAAATTCTGTCACTGTCCAAAGGACCAGAATGACTTTTTGGCTAAATGCCTCATCACCATAACTGGAAGTCTGTGGATGCCACTTTTCGGGATGGGGGGTGGGTTGAGGGTGACTTCTTTCCTCTGTCATTTTCTGTTATGTTTCCCTCCTTTTTTTTTCAGAGAAAGAAGAATTGTTCCAGAATTTACTGGGACAGATTGCTGAGCAGTTCTCAAGGTAAGAAGCTGAACACCATTATTAATTTAAAATACTATTTCTCTTGTCAGCCTGAAGTGAAATTTTCAGAAGAGTCAGAGGGGCATTTAAAAACTCTTTCAAATCCCATTCTTCCTGCCAAATTTAGGCCTGGTACACATTATTTCCTGATGATCAAATACAGTATCTTAAACCAAAACCAATTTTAGTTATTATCTTTGATCTAAAAAGGAGATGAAGTATTAAATATAAATGTTCCTATTGTGCTCCTGCCCTCTTAGAAAGCAAAAGAAATGTTTCTTTGTTGAACCGTCAAATCATCAGATTTGTTTAATTTTCCCCTTTATCACCCAAACGTGTCTCTCCTGCAAGAGGATTTCTGAACATCTGCATAGCTGTTTAATTTATTCCAGCTGTTTTCAATAAAACAGATTAATCCCACCACAGCTCAGCAAATCCCCAGCATAACTCAAAAGGAGGGGGGCTTCAGAGTGTGCAAACACCAAGATGCTGCTGTTAGGCGAAGCATTATCAATTTAACTTTGCTTCCCTAGGGGGTACAATAACAAGTCACTGCGGAGAGAGGGGGTGATGAAGTGTTGCACAGCCACAGTACGTTCCCAGGGCCATAACAAAATCATTTGTTGTTAATTTTTCTGAAAACTAAATTCGTGTGTATTTTCTGCCTAAATTTTAGCATCTCCATGGAAAATATTCTTTTCTTTATGGCAACCACTGTTGGACTGCTCAGTCCTCTGAAAAATGTAGACATTTCTAGGAGAAGCCTTTTGCACGTAGGGTCGGTACGGCACTAAATCTATAACATTAATACATGAGGGTTTTCTTTTCAGGGTTTTTAAAATCAATGAGCTGAAAACGGAAGTAGCTAATCACTTGGCAATGCTGGAGAAAAAGGTTGAATGTGAGTGTCCCTTTATTCGTATCACAGTGGGAAATGGTGCGTCAGAACTCCCTGCCTCGCTGTCCTCGCTGTACCCCCACCCCCACCCTGCTCCTCACAGGCCCTCTGCCTTCTCCAGTGGCTCGTAATTTGGCTGGCCTTGAGCCTGCCAGCCGGGCTGGGGCATGGGGAAGGCGGGAGCTCATGGTGGCACCGGCTGGCGGGGCAGGCCCGCGGAGGGACACCTGCCTCGGCAGGCATCCGGAGTGCCCTGGCGAGCTCCCCTTCAGGGCCCATCAAGCCCCCCACCAAGCTTTGGGCCTGGGCCCACGACTGCCTGATGCCATCTCCTTGCAGCAGAGGGTCTCCACTGCCCACCTCCCCGTCCTCCAGCTCCAGGCCCCTCGGCCTGCCCTCCCACGTCCCCTCATGCCCTATCCCTCACTCCCAGCCCCTCATCACCTCACCTGCACCCAGCGGTGACCCCCCCTTTGCCTCTGCACAAGCATTCCCTGCAAAACACCCCCCCCAACACACCTATGCCCCAGCGCTTGCTGCCATATTCTGCAATGAATTAAAGGGGTACTGCAGCTGCCTGCCGTCTGCTTTAAGTTAGATATTTGCACAGGCCAAACGCGTTGCCTTGCGGACAGACTTTCTCCTTTCAGAAACCCATTTGCTGCGTACGAAGCAGCTGGGGGGTGCTTGCTGCCAATGGGGGCCAAGCACCCAGACCCGCCTGCATTTCTGCTCAGTGCCATGTCACACACTCTGCTCTGCTGGGAAAAGGCCGGACACGGGGTGAGGCCCTTCCCGCGGCACGCGTGCATGTTGCACGTGCAGCACAAACACACCCCAATACTGCAGCATCCCTGAATGGGCGGCGTGGCACAGGTGGAAATACAGCTGGAGGGCACCTCGCGGCATCCCCAGGGGCGGTAATTTCTGGGCTAAGAAAGCGGGCGTTCCCCCCTCACTGGCCATGTTGCTTGGCAGACTACTAGACAGCATCAATTCCCTCGCTTGTTCAGCGTGTTAACAGCAATACAACTGTATTCAGTCACCGTGCAACAACCAAGTTAAGTCCATCTAGTCAAAGAGCTCCTTTTCTGTAGTTCTTTTGTTTCTGTCCTCCATGCAGCATCTGACTACTTGTTTTTTCAGTATGTTATGGAGAACACAGGCCCCAGAAAGGCAGAGAAGGGGTGTGAACAAGGCACTGTGGCACAGCACCGTTTTTGACACCAAAGGCCACATCCTCGCTCGTATGCAGCACTTAAGTCAGGACCAGGCAAGAGTCTTCCCCGGCACTATAGCTGCAGAAAGCACTTGCTCACTAGGAGCTGGCTGGAGAAAAAAAAGAATTTCTGTTTTGTGAAAGAAGTTGTTTTCTTGAAATTTCCCCCCGACCATAGGCTACCTTGACCCTGCAGCTGCTGCATCAGACTGATGCCTTTGTCAACAAGGAAACGAACAAATATCCTTATTCAAAGTGCAGCTGCAGGGGAACCTCTCCCCGAGGCCACCCCAGCCACAGGCTCCTGGTGTGGTGGGAGCCTTCTGGTGATATCCATGGAGGGAGCACCGTACAGCGTGCCTATCCCCAGCACAGATCTCTGCAAGAAGCCTGGGTAGCAATCCCTCCCAGGCTGCTTGGCTGTCATTTACCCGAGGCTCCACTGATTTATTCTTTTGTCCAATCGAAAAGAAAGAAAGGAAAGAAGAAAGAAAAATTATCTCAGTCACTTTGTATTTTCTGTGAAACTTCTGACCAAGTCCAGTCCTCCGGGCCAAGAGCCATGGACTAGAGCACATGAAGCAAGCATTCCTGTGGGTCTTCCTATCCCCTTGGCAGCCCAGGCAAGCACCTCCCCCAGCCAGCTAAGGGCTGCTGTCAGCCACTGGCTCTCCCCGATGACACCCTGGGACCCCAGGTTGCACCCTGCAGACACGCTGCCTGTCAGCGCTGGCAGCCCACGGCAGCGGAGGGAGATAACGAAGTATTACATGCCGCTGCCGGCGGGGACAGGTTGTGCACTTGCACCCTCCGGCACTTCATTGCTGGTTTAGGGAAGGCAGCGTACCTAGAGGTGCTGTGCTGTGCAGGTGAACAGAATTCACTGGTCCCTAGATGAAGCTTCTTTCTGGAAGTGGGTCTTACCACCGATGGAAATAGCAGCAGATGTAGCAGTCTGCTGCCATTCTGCCTGAGCACTCGCGATCCCGTCTCCAGCAGCCTCAGCCTGTGGGAAGGAGCTCCCTGGGTTGCCTGTCTACAAGTGCACTCATCTGCTAGAAATCAGACTTCCAGAATCTGCAACAGAGCCAAATCTACATCATTTTGAAATAACCCCAGGCTTTCATGTTTAAAAAGCAAAACTGTTGGGGGGCAGGGAGTGTCCAACCTCCCTACTCCAGCTGGGCTCCCAGTGGGTGCTTTAGAAGACATGTTTCAGTGCTGGATTTAGCCCAAGGATTTTAGACAGCACAGGGTCTTTTCAGAAGGTATTTCTTGCTGCAAAATAATATAATGTGCCCTTAATCAGCACACATGACAAGGCCATTTATCATCTGTGAGCCAAATGTGAAAAGAATTGTGCTTTTGTTTTGCCTGTTCTCTTACCTCCTTCGGAGATCCATTTTCCACCACTTTCACATGTGATCTCCAGGATTTCTTCCCCAGGGGGAATGTGTGTGTGGGGATAAATGCTCATGACAGCACTACATCTGCACCTCACATAAAATGTTCTCAGCTTCCTTCCCATTACTGTCTAGAGACCACATCAGAGAGATGTGTTTTCAAGGAGCCAAATCTTTTAACTGATTTTCAAATCCCATCTAAATCTTGCGACTTGGAAAATGCGTCCACTCAGGGCAAGCATTTGGAATGCTTTGTCCTGTGGCTTGACTTACTCTGCTCCGGTGTTCACAGAGCAGCCCACACATGAATAAGGAACCTGGTAAAAATCCTGTACGATTTGTAAGCATCTCACATCTACCTTAAGAAAATAATTATGTAAATTCTCTCCTCCCCTGGAGAGGTTTTGGAAGAAAACTGAAGAGATGCAACACGAAAAAATGCTCAGGGCTGCCATTTTTCACCATAACTCCTCTTCTCTCTGCAGTTGCCTGTCCCACTTCCCTGTTGGTTTGATAACCCTGCTTTGCTCCTACTGCTTCAAATAGGCGCTGGCTACCATTTAGACAGCTTGGCAAATGGGCTACCCACAAACTTCTCCAGGATGAACGCACCAAGGTGGTACGTCACAGCGCAGGGCCTGCAGGTCAGCTGCAGCTCATCATCAACAGCTGAGCTGAGTACCAAAGAAGTCCAGCCAGATATCCAGAATGAAGTTACTGAATAAGTAGGACAGCATCTTGCCTGTATCATCACATTGTGATCACGCAAAGAAAATGCTTGTAATGATGCTGGACATAAAAACATTAACCTGGAAATGGGATTTTTAAATGGAGGGTGCCCCTGTAATCAAGCATAAATCAAAACCTTTTCCCTTTCCTCTCCTAATATGTGGCTTTTTGGACTCAGCTCACACACCTCTCTATTTTTCCCCTTTCCCAGTTCCAACAGCAATCTTTGCTGTTACTAGCATAAAGAAAATAAATCTGAGGTCTCTGCTTATCTACAGAGTTGTGCCCTTCCAAGGCAGTTTTTTATCACTTACATGCTACCCTCCAGATAAGTGTGATTTTGGCTATTATTTTCTAAGAAAGTGGCTGAATACTGATTGTACGATTGCACATTCCCTTGAGTTCCCTGAACCACAGCTTGTCCATGCAAACAATGAGTTCAGTAAAGAAATGAGCTGTGAAATGATTGCATATGGATGACATGTACTTAATAAATAGTGCTGCATTATGTCCTTGAGCATGCTGATAGTTCAACGAGAGGGAAGGAAAAGGGAGAGTATTCTCATACTTGCACCGCGTCAGGTTCTCACGGCAATGTGGAATGAAGTGCATTGCTGCATAAACAGGCAATCAAACTTTTTGCCTTGTGGCTCTCATAATTACATACAGAATGGGAATATAGGATTTCTTGTGCCACATGCAGAAATAACCTTTGATTACAAAATTGATTGTCAAAAAGTGACAGATCTTCAATACCAAAAAAAAAAATCGATCATTAGAGCAAAACTTTCAACATTTCTCTCTCTCCTGCATTCTCACTTCGGTTTCTCTGTAGCTAGCAATGCCTCTCAGAGCTCCTTAATGCTCTGCATGAACTTTCAAATTAAAACCTTTTATCTTAATGGGAATTCTAATCCTACCGGGACTTGTTTGCCTAGCTGCGCTTATCATCCCATCACGGGAGGGTTTTCTTTCTGCTCAGGATTTCCTTTGAGTCGTGTTCTACAGCAGACAAGTGAAGGCACCAGAACAGCCGACTGCTGCTAACAATCACAGAAAAGCTGAGACGTTATAGCCGTTCTGTGAATTAAAATACTGCAGCTATTATCTAAAATTGGCAGCAGAGAATTCCCATAGGTTTTCAAGATAATATCGTTTTGGCAGCACCTGCATATGTAAGAACCGGGGCAGACTGTAAGCGCTCGCTGGCTCACTGGATAAGCCCGCTGCTAAAGCCCTTTGAAATTTTGCACAATTGTGAAACAAGATCCTTCGACTTTTGCCATGGTAACGCCCCTGTTGTTTTCCTTTGTTGACAGTGGAAGGCCTGAAAGTAGTGGAGATTGAGAAATGCAAGAGCGACATTAAAAAGATGAGGGAGGAAATGGCAGCGAGAAGCAGCAGGTAAGTTCTGCTTTGGACCTAACCAAAGAAATAAGCATCTGGTTTCAAACCCTAATGCAACATTTCCGCAGAATTGAGTTACCTTCTGGGCTTAGAAGTAAAGGAGCAAGGAAACCAATAACCATTAAGGACAGTGGCTTTAATTTAACATTTGGAGATCTATAGCCATTCATCTGTTAAAATAGCCTGGGCCGCGGGAATAGAGAAAAAGGTCTTGCAACCAAGAGTTGTTTTTCACCACAGGCAATGGGAATTCTTCATCCAGATTTACTAGGAGAGAGGGAAAGGGAAAAGAACTTCTGTGAAGTGCAGTGTTTGGTTGGAAACCAGCTAGCGCTCAAATCAGCTCCAATATATTCTGGGAAAATATCAAATAAATATGTAGCAGCCCTTCTAATTATGATTTCATGCTATTATAAAACATCCATTTCAATTTCAACAAGAAATTGGGAATTTACTTCTAATTCAAGGGCTCACTGTGATTGTGAAGCTTGGTTTCGCTGTAGTAAAAACAACAGCAGAAAAAATTGCATTTTGTACGGTACGCGGTCTCAGCTGGAAAGCCTGCCCCCGTGTCACTGAAATACCCCATTAGGACAAACAAATCTTCACCGTGAGATTATGAATACTTCTGGGAAGGTTGCTGAAGAGGGATATGCTGTCTAGCTCAAAGTGTGGGTGAAGGGGATTTTTCTCAGCAAATGAAACTATGCCATCTTGACAGCCTCTCTCTTTTCCTTCATTTGGGGTCAAATTCTCTGACCCTTAATCAAAGCTGTTTCCTATTGAGGGCAATGGTAGATTTGCTAAAAGAATTAGGCTTTATAATCACGCACTTTTATAAATTTTGCTATCCAGATATGTCAGGAGGCACAGTGTTAATACACTCCTGTTAAATTTGAGGCCAATTCAGCTGTCATACTAGTATAAATGCAGAGCAACATTATTAACCTCAGGTCTGCTCCAGATTTATACCGGTGGGATGGGTTGCAGGTTGCCCCAGGACTTGCATCATTTCTTGTTGGGGTGCGTGAGGAATTCTCATTAGAAAAATCAGAGCTCAGACTGGGAGCAAACGCGAAAGCACGTATGCTGCTTTGTGCCGGCTGTGATGGGAGCGACGTGTGTGCCCTTGCATGTGTCTTTACTTTTCCTCGACTGTCGTGGGGAGCTGGCAGGGCTGCACTTACCAGCGTAGCGACGTACGAGCAGACGGGGAGTTAGAACCCAAAAAGAAGTTATGACCGCTTCCCGTTCACCCAGTTGCCACCACATGCGCCAGGAAGTACGAGACTGTCCCAGCAGCAGCCGTGACTCATTCCTGTCCCAGATCTTGTCACCTTACAGTCTGTACTTTGCAGTATCAACAGCAAGCTGTTAACAAGAAAAGCAGGAGTGGGGAATGCTGTGTCTGCCCAGTGCAGCTGGCTCCAGCTGAGGTGTAGTCTTTGCGGACAGCTTCTAGCGGGATATGACAGCCGCCAAAAGCTGGAAGCCAGCATGGAGCGTGATGCTGGAAAGCTGTGGTGAAATGGGTGTGGTGCTCCACAGCAGGTAGTGCTGGGCAGAGGCACCCAAGCTAGCTTGCTCTGAGCTTGCACTGCAGAGCTGCTTTAGCCGAAGTGGGAGGTTAACTTACCCTGCTCAGCATCATTGTGCTCTATCGGTGTGGCAGGTCGCAGCTCTTTGTGGTTGTCTTGAGTTGAGTCTTCCTCTTCTCGGCTGCACAAAAGCTCCTCGTCCTTGCACAAAATTCTGCCCATAGATTATCTGTACCCTAAGGGCTTGGGTCTCACAGCAGCAGCTAGACCTGGCCAGGTTCAGCGTACAACCAGGGGTGGCTACAAGGCACCTCTTCTTGCTATGAGGGTGAGGAAAGGATGCTCCTTCATGGCTGGCCATTAAGAGGGACCCCGTCGGGAGCTGCCGAGGAATGAGCTGTGGTTCCCTCTTCCTGAGAAACCACAGCTCTGCAGGAGCCATGCCACTAGCAGGCGGTGACACCAGCCTAGGGGTGCTTCAGCACAGAGCAGCTGAGAAAGCTGTCTCCCATTGGCATGAGATACGGGTGTGCTGAGGGGGGACAGAGGCATCCTAGGACAAATGGAAATGGTTTTGCTCCTGTGTAGACCTGCCATCCTTTGTGCAATGTCCTTTGCTATAATAATAGGACATGACAGTTGCATTAGAGATCACTTGAAATTTAATTATTGTATATAAGTATGTGTGAGTGCCTATATTCCTTCAATAATATCACAGTGTACACAGCTGTATTCTTATATGTTTATGTATTCTTTTGTGAGACTTGCTGTCACATTACCAAACGAGAGTAAGGATGAACAGCTAAGTTTATAAAAGTACTCATACACAGTGAATTGTGCACCTCTCCAGAAGAGCAAAGTAGGCCCACTTTCATCCCCTCGGGTTGCTTTTTTTGCTAGTCTGGCTTTCACGCTCACCTCTGGCAGAGGCTAATAACATTGTGGTGTCATTTAAAGTCATGATCATTTGCAGATAACAGTTTTACATTTGGAAAGGTCTGATGCATCCTGTCTCTGGTGTGTTCCCCAGTGTGGTAGGATGAAGGCTTCAGTGTCTTACTACAGCTGGGAATTACAGATCGTTGGCTGACCCTCAGCTAACCCTGGCAGCCAGTTCCAATTAGGGCAAGGAATGCCCCAATCTCCCTGGTTTTATTCTACTAATACTCCTCACAGTGGAGTTTTGAGGAAACAGCTTTAGAAACGATTAAGTCAGCTTTTCACCAACTGAGAATCTCCTTAAACAGGGCAGGAAAAGGCAGCTGGGTGAAGCCAGCTGACCACCGTGAACTATATGATGTAACTTTTGTGGGATTCAGACAACACCACCAGAAATGATGGCAGACATCAATGTGAAGAGGGGAAAAGTAGAGAGACCTGGACTAATTCCCAAAGGAGACAAGAAGCACTTTAAAAAACAAACAAACAAACAAAACCCCAAACACAATACAGAATATGAAAAACAATTTAAAAAGGGACAAATTAAGTTAATGGAATAACTTAATTGGCTTCTTTGGAGGAGTTCTTTTAGCTTCATTTGGCAGGAGGCTTTAAAAATGAGAAAGGGTAATCCAAGTATTAAGACTAGAGGGATAAATGCAAAATCAAGCAGACCAGCTTCACATGAGAGTTATTAAAGTCCATGTGACCAACTACCTGGGAAACAGAATGTTAAATTAAAGTATCATGATTGCCATGGGTGATACCACAGTGCTCTTAGTTTTAGTGTGTCCCCCATGGCTGTAAGGGAAGAAACTGCTCTCGCACTGCAATGCAGCAGCCCACATGTTCCACAAGAGCTGTAAGGCTGGCATGCACCCTCGCCGGCACGGTCCTCCACTCAGATGGGATAGCATCAGCCTGACGCTTCCATATGCAGACAAAGGAAGAGTCGAGAACTGACAGTGGGTGCTCGTGTTAATAACCAAACAAGTGCTAATTACCTGTAATTGCTGGCAGCAGGTCCCTTCCTCCAGGAGCAGGTAGCCAAGCAGACTGTGTCTGAAGGGCAGCAGGAAAGGTGGTCGTGCCATCCAAACAGGTGATCTTGCCCAAGCTATCACCGAGGCCTGGAGCTGGGCTGCAATAAGCCATGGGATCAGTGGGTGCCCATGCTAGTAAATAAGTACAGGTATGCCAGAGTCCATACTCAGCGTGGCCCCAGGCAGGGCTCTGCCATCCTCAGACAGGATGCCTCATCCTCTTGCCACAGACAGCAAGCTGCTCGCTGAAAGTTACTTGGGTTAAATTGGAGTGGGTATCCATGGATACTTGTCTGAAGAGAGACACTCCTTGCTTGAGTTCAAATAGATGGAGAATGGGTGACAGGAGTGTTGCACAAGGGGAGAAAATCCTACAGAGGATCACACTTCCAGAACGTTTGAGCTACACCACATTAGCAAGGGACAGGGGTAATTCCACAAGCGATGCCTACCAAGAAATCAGAGTGCTTTTGGCATTTTTCAACGCACTGCAGTTCTCTTCCCACAATGTTAAGAGCTCAATATTCCATTTCAGGACTAACTGTCCCTGCAAGTACAGCTTTTTGGATGAAAACAAGAGGCCGACTCCCCGGCGCGATGTACCATCCTACCCAAAGGTACCACGCAATGCTTCCTCTTCCCAGAATCCTACCACATGCTTGCCACCCTGACAAGTGCTGGTTTACAATGCATGTTTCCCTAGCCATCTACCTCCTAGTCATTCTAAACTCAGGGCCTGATCCAAAGTCCCTGGAAGCTGATGGAAAAAGCTGTCATTGCCTGCAGCGACTTAAAGTTGGATCCTCAGTAGTCTTTTAATACTTGAAAGCTCATTGGTGTTTGAAATGTTAATGAACATTTGCATTCAGCAACATTTAACGTTTTTCTGTCTAATTATATTTGTTTATTCTCTGTGCTCGTAGCAAACAATCAAAAATAGCCTATAATGTTGTACTCTAATTGAAAATAGGGCTGCTGCCTGTTTTCTCCTAATGGATTATTTTTTAATTTAAAAATTAATTTATGGAGATGCTTCACTTAGGGAAACAGAGATAAAATGCGACATTGGATTCTCTCCAGAATGATTCATTGTCCCTGTGAAAATAAGTTAATGTATTTGCTAGAGAAAACAGTAATGCTTGAAGAAGAATGTCTACTGGGCAAGTACCAGTACAAATCCTCAGTGATGAACGAGGCTGAAACCATGAAGCACACAGGATCTTTAGTCCTAGTACTGGCAGTCCTTGCCCACGGGAATTATTCAAAGCTACCAGCTTATGTCTGCTCAGTGCCCAGCTCACACCGAGACAGAACACCAGCTCACACTCGTGCAAATCGTAGTTTAACAGTGGGCATTTGCCTGCACACATCATAGCTGGCTGAGCCGCTCTGCAGTTCACGTGGTCCGGTGTGATGCCGGTGTAGGATATGGACACATATCCTGGCTTATTTGTCTTCAGGGCCTTAAAAATCAACAATTATAAGTTCTGCTGTTTATTCTTCTCTGCCTAACAAAAGTGACCACTAGGTCTCTGAAGCAGACATCAAGAGACTTGCATTTCTTTTAATTAACTTCTGCCCAAGTGGCTTGTGCTGCTGACACTAACACATGGTTTTGTAAAACGTATCAGTTCTAAAAGTTATTTCTTCCCTTGATAAGTATGTATAGCAGATCAACCTTTGACCTACTGCTATGATATTAGGATCTTGAATTAATAACAAGTGCAGCGAAGAGTTGTACCAGGTGCAGAGTAAACTGTTAGTCTGTGTTGTCCCTAGACCAAAGATCATAGGAGTTTTGGTTTCAGAAGTTTGGGTTCTGTTTGACTGATTTGCAAAATTTGTTATGCCTTGCCAAGTGCTGGATTTGTCCAATGTCACTTAGGCTAGGAAGTGATGAGTACACTGAAAGAAGATGTCTTCACAACACCGTTATCAAATAACAGATCTGTACTGCTAATTCACACATTTCTTGCAGAATGTCATATTAAATGTACATTATGTAGGCAAATGCAAAAATCATTGCCTTCTCAAGAAGGAAAATTAATCTTCAGTGTTAACCTTCTTTGGATTAAGTATCAACTGTTTGATGGCTCAGAAAATTTCATTCACCTGCTTAGTACAGTAAACCCAAACTAATTAGAGACAGCCATGGTAAATGAGCCAATTAAAGCTACAAGGTTTTAGTGTTCAGAAAGACTCTGATCAATGAAGTCTTGAAAATATGATTCAGTAGAGTGCAGATCTCCCCTGCTCTTTTAACCCCCCACATTAGTTTTTTTTCATTTTGTATACAAATCATAACGGGCCATTGAGCTTGATTTTGGTTTAAGCCTCTGAGCATAACAGTAAAAAATCACTTCAATCTTGCAGGCTGGCAACCTATTTGAAAACGTGGGCGTTCTTGAAAAAATACTCAAAATGAGAGTATAAATCATCTGAAAGTAAATATATCATACCCACCAGCTAATTTAACGCTATCAGCATAGACACTTCACACCATCCAGCCATGACTGGCTGCACTGAGTATCACTGATGCTCTGCAGGCAGCAGAACCAGTTTGGATCTGTGCCCTGCGTCCCTTATATCCCTTTGCTGGATATACCCACAACCTCATCCATAACACCTCCGTTCTCCTCTCTTTTCACCCAAACCCTCCACCTCCCCTCGCCCTAGGGATCTCCACCTATCAGCAGCCTGCCAGCGGATGCCGTGGCAGGCATCGAGCTGCCTGAGGGCTTCCTGCCCCCCACATGCGGGCATCCTGGTGTGACCATGAGCAGCCGGTGGGGAGGGAAAGAAGAGTTGGGCAGGCAGAGTTGCTCTGTCCTTGGGGAATATGGCTAAACCCCATGTGAATGGGACACCAGGAGGCCCAGGGACATGCCGATGGGAGGTCCCACGCCAGGGCAGGGGACCCTCACCGACTGCCTTTTTGTCTGCAGTACATGCTGTCCCAGGAGACCATAGAAGCGCTTCGGAAACCAACCTTTGACGTCTGGCTGTGGGAACCCAACGAGGTGAGGATGCTGTGTTGGCTGGGTTAGCACTCTTTCTGAGAACCAACAAGGTCAGAAAAGCCCTTTGAGATGGTCTCCAGGATTTTTCCCCTTTCTGCCCCTTAACCTCTATTTTGGTTTTCATTTTTTATTTTTATTTTTGTATCACACCAGAATGCAATAGTTTTCACCTGCAGTTGCCACATAGATTATGCTGATTATCATAACATGATCCCTCTCCATTTTTTCTTTAACCTCTTCCTAGTGATGTCCCACAACAACCAGCTCACTGTCATTACTGCCACATGAGTTCTCTCGAGCCGTTTTATCTGAACAGATCGATCCCTGGCAAAGTATATGCTTAAGCACATCCTCAGTAACTCTGCTGAAATCAATGAGACCGTGTGCTGCTGTGCGAAGCCAGGCAGAGGGTGCATGCATTGATTCACAGCCTTTGAAGCACGGGTTTTTCCGCGGTATATTCTGAAGGGGCTGCAAAGCTGCATGCACGGCCTGGTAATAGTTTCTTATTGCTGCTTCTTCTCATTTTTCTTACTGCTTTTAGTATTATTTGTTCATCACTTGTATTACAGAAGATTCTGGAAGGCCCGTGTGTAAATCTCTGCAGAAACATGAAGAAGGATATTTCTGTAATGGTCATCTTATAAGACAGATCAAGAGCAAATCTCACCTAGGAAACATGTCATGGGGGCAGGACTAAACTAGGGCCTCAGTGTTGGATTTTTCCCAAGGGAAGGATTGGCTAGTTCTAGCTGCACCCCCAGCAGCAATCACTTAATTACCTTCTCAATCAGACGTTGTGCATACAAGAGTCATTCTGGCTCAGCACCTGTAGATCAACATGACAAGGAAAAATACCCCATACCGCACCCGCAGGAACAGCATATGCCCTTCAGGATATTTCACCCGGCTGGTAGAACGACAGAAGGACTCAGATGATGCTAGGTCCATCTCCTGTTCTCAGAGGCAGGCAGAGCATCTCTTGTGCAGTCCGTGCCAAGCTGAGGCTGGCCCTCTGCAGCCAGTGCTCCCTCTCCAGCCTCTTTTCTCTGTAACACGGCCGGCCGTACAACTGCTCAGGCAAAATGGCTCACCCCCAGCTTTTGAATGGCTGTCAGGTCTTTACAGCAAGAGAGAATTACGACCTGCCAGGTGGACCATAACACTGTTGGCTCATTGTTGCTGTGACTATTAAGAAAGAATAGGGAGAGACAAAACCCATTATCCACGGATTCTTGTGTGCTGAGGCATAGTATTTGAGCACAGTAACTCATTCAGAGTACTAGGAAACACTATATGGTGGCATGAACGAGGCTAACAAGAGGGTGCGGACACTGGACATGCCCTGCTAGGAGAAATGCTGCTGAGAAATGAGATACCGCACAAGCCCTAGTGAGCCCAGCACTGTATGAGTTTATCTCGCTCTTTTAGGCTCTGGTTTATGTTTACCGAGAATTTATCAATTCTGTCAATGCTTGTTTAGCAATGAACATTTGCCCATGTGCTCAGTGTGGGGCTGGCAGGTTATAAACCGTAGTCTTCTGTAAGCAAATTAAAAACGTGCTCTGCAGCATCTCAGTAAACTGAGCTGTGCAGCAAGCTTGTGTTCTCTTTCTCAAATGTCCACTCACTTTCAAGCCATAGAAGAGCCCAATATTCAAGCTTTTGCTGTTGACCAAGAAAGCTAAAAATGAAAACTGAGATTCTTGTGTTCAGGGGCAGGAGTTTTGGGACTCAGAGTCACCCTGCCACTCACCCAAAGCTCTCTTGGCAACAGCTGGAGGGAGATAGGCTTCTCTGAGGGTAATTCAGCCCTTCTGGATCAAGTTTAATGCCCCTCAAACCTGTTCTGAAACTATTGCAAAACATATATTGTACCTCAGGGACTAGGACCAAGACAAGGTGGTCTACAGCAAAATGCTGTTCATGTGTTCTGAGCACAATTCAGCTCGTGACATTGTCCCTCAAGTCTTGCAGGAAAGTCTCTTTCTTCCTGTTCGGATTACTCAAAACCACCCTCTTGTTACTGCATGAACTATGGATATTCCCTGGATAAATATAAAGTTTCATTAGATTAAATCATTTTTCTGGAGAGTTTTTAAGAGCCTAAGTAACAGAAACCTAACTAAAAATGTCTCCAAGGCTATATTTGGGACATTACACTCATCACGTTGAAACCCCTGGATCAGTCTGCAGTCTAAAAACTGCATCTGCTAATATAATGGCTACATTTCATCCCCTGCAGATTTTGCCTTCAGAAATGGGAATGCAGATACATAAACTCCCAAACTCCTGGAAGTCTGTTCATTTCTGACTGGTAGCAGCTGTTAAGTGCCCAGGCACATCAGATTATCAATACCTTTCTTTTGCACTATTTTCAAACCCAGAAGATTACCGAGGAGTGGCAGTGCTAAACTATCTGCATCCCCCTTCCTAGCACAGAGCAGATGTTGTCCCAAAGGAGCAGCCTGCCTTTGCATTTCAGCCCTTGGGATTCATAATTAGAGTTTACACGAGTGGATGGTCACAAACCTGCTGCAATTTTGTAGGGTTGTAATGGGAGATCTTCTGTTAAACAAGAAATTTGAGTTAAGGTATTGGAATTAGGAACTCACAAGCAGTCATAAAAGATATTGGCACATATCTAGAACAAACATTTCTTTAAGGAACTCTTTTGCTGTCGTTTCTATACAGCTAGGACCTGATCCATTTCTGCACAGCCAGGGCCTTCGGAGTCAGTGGAAAAACTCCCACTGATTTCACTGAGTGTTAGAACATATCCCAGCTGAATTAGAAAAATGGCAGTACTTCTTTGTGAGAAGGGAATTGCTGTGATACCCATGAATCACAATTACGAAAGTGAGCTGGTGTGATTCAAAGCCCGGCACAAAACCTATGAAGTCAACAGCAATCTGTCTGCTTCAAAAAGCTTTCAGAACCTCTCTGTCTCCCCTCTTGCACTCTCTTTAATCATGCAATCTTTGAACATCTTTCTTTCATCTTAACAAGAGGGCTCTGCAATTATTCGATGCTTGCAAGGAGGAAATTCACTGTGCAATGTATCGTAAAGTGGTATTTACCAAGCCAATAACCTATCTGTTCCCGGCTGCAGATGCTGAGCTGTTTGGAACATATGTACCATGATCTTGGGTTGGTAAAAGACTTCAACATCAATCCTATCACATTAAAGAGGTGGTTGGTAAGTATTTCAAATTAATGATGTTTGCAATTTTTCAAATTCAAAAAACAATAAACAAAAGATTTAGTGATGGAATTAACTTGACTCACATGAGTAATCCCACTGAAAACAGTTCATCTACATAAATTCATAAAATTGAAGTACTTCAGCAAATGTTTGCTTTCTTGTGGTAATAAATGATTTTTTTTTAACTGTTTTACATTTGTTTGCTGAGCTCTCTGTTACCGAAAGCAGTTCATTTCTGATGAATGCTCTTGGTATCGGCCATAGATTTAGACGAGTGTCTTCAGATATGGCCAAAAAGAGCCAGCATGTGCAATATTCATTAGATGTCCTAAATCACAGGAGTGAAAGAGCAAGGCAGGAAGGAAAAGGAGTTGCTGAGAAGTTAAATCATTTTCTTTGCCTTGGTCTTCAATGTTGAGAATGTTGCAGAGATACAAGACACGATAAAGATGAAATTATACAGAAACTAAGATGTCTAAAGAAGAAACACTGGAGTACTTAAAAATCAAAAAGGTATCAGGCCCAAGGAAGAGAATAAGAAAGAATTTGATAAAAGGCTGAAGAATATATTGGCTATCTCAGAAAAAAAATCCTGTTCCTAGAGGACTGTAGAACAGTAACTATTTTACCCATTCTTTAAAAAGGATCTAGAGATAACCCTGAAGAATTATGGTTAGTAAAACTTACATCTCTACCTGACAAATTGAGTGAAATAATTAAAACCATCATGATAGGAAGTTCATTATACAGATGTTTCATATGATTCCTGTAGCGAAGAATTGTATCTCACTAATCTCTTCTAATTACTCGAAGAATATAGACAGTATAGAAGGATCTGTTTTACATGATGGATGTAGAGTCCCAGAAAGGGTGGGACAAATTCCAAAAGTTCAGAAGGTGTCTAGAAAATACAAAGCAAACCACAAAATTTCTCATATCACAAAGTACAGCAAGAGCAAAAAGCACCTGGGCACCATCGTACGCAGGGCAGTGACCGTCACTGCTCGGTGTGCTGATGCCGGCTGGAGCTAACGAGGCATTAGGCTGATCAGAGACTGGAATAAGGGATAAAATGGACTGATGTTACCATGTCTCGATAGAAGGCATGAGGCTTACCTGGAATTTATGCCTCGGACAGGTTAAGTCCCTTTAGAAACATGGTATGACTACATTAAAGGAGACAAAAAAATTGATAGAGCCCTAGGAAATCTCTCCCCAAAGAAGGCAGATGAAAAGCTCAGTATTGTTGACCTTAGAAGGCAGCTGAACAGAAGGGGTGGGATCAAACCCAGTATAATCAAGGCTAGCACAGAGTAGATAAAGGAGAAAATTTCCTCCTCCTGTCTCACAGCCTGAAAACATGGCAGGAAACAAGGTGATATGTCAACACACATCAACATGCCACCCACGTGCATTGCCGCAGGCAGCTTCCCGTTAGCTTGGATCTCCAAGTAATTTGTTAACCACTAGCATTTAAGACAGCCTTGCTTGAGCAAGGAGGGGAGTTTATTGGGCATTTTCTACATAGGTAAGACAGGATGAGATTTCCCGTCTTGAACACTAACATCACAGAAGGAAAAAATGATTAAAAAAACCCCCAAGATCTCTGCATCAAACTATGATATTTCCCCAGGCACAGTATGGGCACCAGCTTGAACTTAAGTGACTGAGAAAAAACCACCTCATGCATATGCTTGCTTACTTGCTCCCACATCCACTGGCTACAGAAATGTTTCGGAAAGGGGAGGAAAGGATGACTAATACAAGCCAGTCACTTCAGCCCTTCAGGACTCTGAGTCAGAAGTCCCCTGGGATGCTCTGGGCTCCACTGCTGGATATATACATTACATCCATGCAGCGTTGCACGGTGCCTGGCCATGACCACGGTGTCCATACGGAGGCTGCGAGATACTGCCCACCACCCAGGAGCCTGGCTGTCAACTGTATTGTGCCATTGTTTATTCATTCTAAAAGAATGTAATCTATTTCTAAAGTCCTTGCTGCAGAATAATCTGAACAGCATTTGCAATTAAGCCCCCAAATACTGAATAAGCATTGAAAACCCACAGTTCTCTTCACCTCATCCAGAGTTTTGAGGCTTCGCAGAAGTCAGGTCCCAGGCTGAAGGGTTTGCTCCTGATGGGAGTAAACCCTTGCAGTAAGTTCACTATTTAGCTGGAGAAGGGGACACACATTCCGTCCATGTCATTAATGCAGGCTCAGTAACTGAAGCATGTGCGCAAGGGCCCTCTAGGGTGCAGGCTGCAGAGGATTCAGCAGAAGGGGTCCCGCAGTGCTGCTAAAGCTTGGCTGTTTTGTGCAGGACAGGATACCGAAGACTATCCAGTTTCGAAACACCTTGGAAGGGTGACTGTTAACCCAGCTGTGCCAGCTCTACTCAGCTAGCCCAGCTGACAGCAGCAAGGACACGTGGAAGGAAAAGTTTTAGCTTGCATTTGTCTTGAGGGCACACAGCCAGGTTCTGTAGAAAGTTGAAACAAACAACGATCTGTCTTGTGTGTCTATATGGCTAAATCTTTCCCATGCTGGCTAGCATGGGATATCCACACAGGTATGCCAATGCATGTGCACTCGCATCTTTGCTTTGCCAGGCAACACATCCCGAAGTGCCACCTCTGAGCATTTGCAAAAGAAATAACAATTACATTTCAGCCTCGAAGATTTCAAAGCTGCAATTTGCATTCAGTGAGAGAGGGGAACGGGGGCGTACTTTGAGTTCTTTACACATCCCAAAGTCACCGTTTGACCACTGCATGGTTTGAAATAAAAATTCAGGGTGAGAGCCCAGAGTCCTCTCTCAAGACTGAGGTGCACTTGCAGCTGTGCTGGAAGGTCTACCCATTTCCAGTTGGTATGAGAGAGAAGGTGCTATGAGCTTTATCTGTAGACAAATTCTTGAAATCTCACATCCTCCCCCAGAAGGCAGAGTGTCAGAGGGCCTTGTGCTGCCACTCTGTCCTAGTAGAAAAGAATCCTGTGCTCCACAGGACTCCTGTAGGGATATACAGTGCTTCCAGGGAGGTTGGGATTCATATGTAATCGTGTGTTTATGAAGAAAGAGCTTTCCTGTCTCTGACTGCTTCATTCCCTCTCTCTGCAGCTGTGTATTCATGACAATTACAGAAACAACCCCTTTCATAATTTCCGGCACTGCTTCTGTGTGACCCAGATGATGTACAGCATGATCTCGCTCTGCAGCCTCCAGGTATGACCCCCCCACCCCAGCAGAGGCACATCAGGGGGCCACATGTCCATCCACTGAGCACCACGACACCTGTGCCACTTTTTTTGCCAAACAGGCCACCAGCTTGCTGGCAAGTGTCCAGCTTTGCAGTAGCTGCACTTGTTCAGTCGCTGGGGAGAGGAGAGGTGCTGTGTTTCCACCTCTGGCTGCCCGCTCAGCCATCCCAACCCAGACCTCAAGCACCTACAGAGTTTTCTGAAGCTGCTAGGAAGCTACCTTCTCCTCCTGGATATCCCCAGTTTGTACACTGAAGCCCTTTTGACACTCTGAAAACATCTATGAATCAGACCCAAGAACTCACTGAATGAGTCTGTGGGTATGGTCCTCATCTGTGATACAGAACGTTCCCGGAAGAGGTTTTCTCCAAATGTGTGCTTGCACCTGAGTGAGCCACTGCAAATAATGCCTTGGATGTACTGTATGCAAGATGAACATTCAGCCTGTACTTTGTCCAAAACTATAGGCATTGTTTATTTTCACTGACTGGATAACCTGTGTTTGTATATTCATTTCAATTCTGTACAAACTAGATTTTATTCAGTCAAAAACCCCCTTTCTTCTCTGTAGTTAATCATCCCTGTTATTGGCCTAAGTCTATTTTCTTGCCAGTAAGAGCATGAAGAAAAACTTGCTTTAATGGAAGTTCACCCTATTCAGAAGCTGTGGGAATGCAACACTTAATTTTTCTCACTCTTTTCATAACTTTAGTTAATGCAGAATGCAATGGCAACTAAGCTCTCTTCCAGCCCTCCCTTAACTCATCAGGATGCTCAAATGACTTGTAAGAGACTGTGCTAATATCCCAGTGCTTTTATATGATCTCTGCAGTAATAGCAAGTTTCAAGCAAATTGCCTCTTCCGAACCACTGTTACTTAATGCAACAAAGGCAAATCTGAGTCATTTTTACTGGAAGGGAAGGTAGAATTCTCTTTCTTGACTGAAGTAAATTTATCTATGGAAAAATACTTTATTTTGCTCAGATTTGCATTTCTCTAAAACGTAAATGTGGGTGGTTTTTTTTTTACTTCTTTTCACTTATGGAGGTAGGAGAAGTAGAAATCGTAACACTACATTAATGTTCTGTGGTTTTCAGGAGAAATTTTCCCAAACTGACATCTTGATTCTCATGACGGCAGCAGTATGCCATGACTTGGACCATCCAGGCTATAATAATACGTAAGTCTGTCTCTGGCTTTCTCTTTCCTTAGAATTTACTGGGAGGGTAATAGCAGCTGGCATTTTTGGGAGATCAGGTTTTCCCATTACAGTTTGAGCTGGCCGTGTCCTTCCCCCAAGGCCCTGCTGTTCACTCACACTTGGGCCAAGGCAGAGCTTCATGCAGAAAACTCAGGTCTGGGTTGGGGTTGCCAGCTGTCCTTGGCCCTGCAAGGAAAATACTTTTTCAGTTTTATATTTCGACACTTTCCCCCACTCCTGAGAAAACAAGGAAAAATGTTTTACAGCTGAGAGAGAAGGTATAAATTATTATAGCTCCATCGACTGAAATGGAATAATTACACTAAAATGCAAAGGGTGATTTAACTTACACATTATTTCATAATTATAAATCATGAAGTACATATTAATCTATTTATTATCATGTGAGGAAATTAAAATTGTTGACCCGTGGACACTTTTGTGTGCACATATGTGTTTGCGAAAAAGAGAGAGAATCTAATTTATTTCTAGCCATTCATTAAATAAGGGCAGCACCCAGTTCTGACTGAAATCAGTAAGAATCTGTCCGTTCACATTAGTGGGGGTTCAATGAAGCCCAGACATTTCCTCCTGTGTTTGTTCTGTGTCATTTTAAGCTACAGAGACTTGTTAAAATGGGGGGTGGAAGAATACCCTAGAGGGGAATACTGCTTAAGATACTATTAAAATAATATCTATCTTTTTTAAAAATCTGATTTAGTGTTAACAATCAAAACCCAAACTGTAGCTAATTGAATAAGTATTGAAAAGAATGTAAATAAAAGTAAGCAGCATGGTTTAGAGCAGCTGGTGTGTGTCTGCAGGAGCTCTCACTGTTTTTCTTCACATCAGCTATCAGATAAATGCACGAACTGAGCTCGCGGTACGCTACAATGACATCTCCCCACTGGAGAACCACCACTGCGCTGTGGCTTTTCAGATCATTTCCCAGCCAGAATACAACATTTTCTCCAACGTCGACCAGGACCAATTCAAAAAGATACGACAGGTATGAATGCTGCTCCCATCTGTGTCGTACAAACTGTTCCTGAAGATGTAAGCATGCACAGACCTCCCTGCTGTACAATGCGAGTGAATCATCCTCCCTCGAGGATAGGACTGAAAAAGCCCCTCATGCTGGAAGGATCCAAGAGGGATTCTTGGATAATTTCCACAACAGCACTCCCTGGAATGTCTTGCTGAGAAATAATGAGTACATCCTGACTATTAAAGCCTATGACATTTTGGGGGTAGATATTTATATTATTGAAGGAACCAACTAGCTCTAACTGGGAAAGGATTAAGCTCTCATGGCAGAAGTTTATGCTTTAAGAGAACATCATTGTATTAATTTTCAGAGGGGCTTAAAAATAGGAAAAGATTTACAACAGCAGAGCGCTCGTACTGTAGGAAGAGGCTCTGGTGGACTGGGAATCATCAGTTGTCTCTGAGACAGTGAACAATGCTACGATTCCCGTTAGAGCACTAAGGGCCAAAACTCAGTCTTAGTTTCCATGTTACACCTTCCTTACACACCAAATAAAAATGCAGAAGGGCTCAGATACCTGGAGATACCTGGTTGGAGTTCCTGATTCTGCCAGTGCATGGGAAGCAGGTGCAAAATGGGCAGATCTGCATGAAAACCTGCAACTTTAAATCAACCATAGGTTTTCCCATCATAAACTCTGCCTGGCAGGAAGATACAGAGCTCCTAACACATTGGCTGTGTCTGGGTCTTTCAAAGCCCTTAATCCAAGGAGGATGCGCACAGAGGACATTCACATGTACTGATTTTTGTCTCTTCTTAGGGCTACTACGAGCCAGCAGCAAAACCTACAGTGCTTTTCCCCAGGAGCCAAAAGCAGATCTTGGCAAACAGAGTGTGGCTTTTAACATCCTGTTGTATAGTTTGTTTTTCCACAAGTAGTCAATCGGAAAGGAAAAAAACACATTGCATTGGCTCTGGAATATCACACCAGTGTTACAGAGCGATCCAACCATGACATTCATATACCATGAACGCTTTATAACCCTCTTCCGGTTTTCTTAGCAGTTTCAAGTCAGAAACTTCCCCTTTCAGTATTAACAATGTAACGCATCTGAGGCATTTGTATGTAAGAAAGACCCTACTTTGCTCTGCAATAGTACACTTTGCAAAGAATACCAAGTTAATATGTGAACACGTTTTCTTTGCTAGGGGATAATTACGTTAATCCTGGCTACAGACATGGCGAGACATGGAGAAATACTGGACTCTTTCAAGGAAAAAATGGAAAATTTTGATTACTCAAATGAAGAACACATGACCTGTGTAAGGAGGTTTTGTGGATTATTATTTTTCTGTGCATAGTGTGCAAGCTTGTAGATTAACATTTGTTTGTTTAAAAAACAAGATTCAATCTACATTATCAAAAAGCAATCTTTCCTACATCCTCTGCCACGCCAAAAAGAATTATAGTTTGGAAGTGCTCTACAAGAAATGGATTATTCCAGCTTTAGAAATCCTAGAGTCCCATCAGGAAGAAAATATATTTACTCTGTCCGGTCAGAAAATGTTTTTGTCTATTACTGTGGGGCAAAAAGTATCCACAAGAGTACAAACTCTAGTCTCCTCTACTTCCCAGTCCAGTCATCTTTGACATCCAGGGAAGTGTTTCCCAGCTGCCTCCGAGCGCTCCATAAACAACTTCATGGTCATTTGTGGCTGAATCTCTTCATGCAGCAGATAAGCACACATCCCGCTGTGGCACATCCCAGTGCTAGAGACAGGGAAACCAAGGCAGAAAGGGGATTAATTATTTACACAGAGTAACTCAGATCATTTAAGACCTCTAAACCGTCCCTTCTGTTTGAAAACATGGCATCCCACTGCATTGTGAAGACACAGGTTCTGGATAGGGGAAAACAGGCTGGCATTAAGACTACAGTATTAAAGTATTATCCTCTTTCAGCTGAAGATGGTACTGATAAAATGCTGTGATATCTCCAATGAAGTCCGCCCAATGGAAGTAGCGGAGCCCTGGGTAGATTGCCTACTAGAGGAGTATTTTATGCAGGTAAGAATGAGGGAGAGACGCAGTTGCACAAGTTGCTGCTCTTCCTAAATTCCCCCCTCAGCTACAGGTGCTCTGCTGTCTGACAGTCCAGTCTAGCTCTAGGATGGAAAGGCTTCTTTTACAGAAAGCTGGAGAAGGATGACTGGAGAACCTCTGTAAAGTGGTTGCCTTGCAAGTTCAGTTGACATATAAATGATTTTTGAGCCAAAAGGGCAAGGCAGCTGGCTGCAATTTGTGGACAAAAGGCAAAGGCAACCTAGAAATCCTAATGCTGGCAGACTGAAGCTTGTTCTCTGTAAAGTGGTTGCCTTGCAAGTTCAGTTGACATATAAATGATTTTTGAGCCAAAAGGGCAAGAACAGTGACAAGAGAAAGGTGTCAAGTAAATTATCTTAAATTATCTCAAATTATCACATACGAACTAGCATAGATAATTTTCACTGCACATGAACACTCCCCTGAAGAGAAAGCAGGAGACTTGCTGAGGTGTGCAAAGTCAGACTTTAAGCTCCATGAACCATTGCTCCTCACTGGATTCCTAACTGAACACACCTTCTGATTGCTTAAAAAAGGACCCCTGGAAAAGCAGCCCTCAGCTGCCTCCAGCACATGGGTTCCTGAGCAGAGCATGTGCTGCAGCAGTGGGATCTCAAGCGACACACAGCTGCAGGGCTCCGAGGAGGCGATGCCAGAGCCGCCTTGTGTGTTTTGTCTACACTTTGACAGGGTGCATGCCAAGGAGGGCTTCTCACAAGAGACAGGCATCTCGGATGATGTGTCAGGAACACTTCTAGCTCACTGCATCTGAAGCTTTTTACTCAAAACCACAGTATCCATGTGCCTTAGTGTTTTGGCCATCCAGCAAAAGCACTATGTGCCACGAGACCCAGTAATTCATAGAACCATAGAATCATTCATAGAATTATAGAATTGAGAGACAAAGTCTGCTATGAGGTATCTTTTTCACACACACAGTCTGTGACATCCTCGTGCATGAACCCACATCGAAGCGGTGAGTTATGTGGTCAAGTAGGCAGCTGGGCAAATTCACTGTAGCCAGTGGAGCTATTCTCCATTGACCTAGCTAGCCAGAACTGGTTTTAATCATTAGTAAAGAAGAACATGCAATTTCTGGTTGAATATCTGAAAATAATCACCTCTCTGGAGAATGATGAGGAAATCAAAATCCTATTCCTTCTCTTCCAGAGCAGCAAGAGCCATTACCACCTCTCTGAATGCTCAGAAATATTTTACCTCACAAGTCCCATGGGGGTGCAGAGGGAAACAGGTGGCCTCGTTGCCCTGTAATCCTGGAGGGGATCACTTTCATGTCAGTGCCGTGCAGGAGTAACTGAGCAGAGCTCTCATTACTCAGATGCTTGCTCTCAACAAAGCAGGATATGCTGGCCCAAGGGAAGCCTAAAGCTATTCTGTGCTGTCTTCAGACACCACTGAGATCTGTATCTGAAGGTTACTGCTCTGTAGCTAGTGATCTGCTTGGTACATTACCCTCCTCACGGGCTTCTAGCCAAGAATAATATTTGTTAACCCTGGACTTGTTCCAGAGCGACCGAGAAAAATCTGAGGGGCTTCCAGTGGCACCGTTCATGGACCGCGATAAAGTGACCAAGCCGACAGCACAGATTGGCTTCCTCAAGTTCGTCCTCATCCCCATGTTTGAAACAGTAACGAAGGTAAGTCACCCAAGGCCAGGAGCAGGAGCGGAGCCGTGCAGGGCTGCAGCGTTTGCTCTGACAGCGTTCAGTTAGACAGGGAAATGGGGATGTTCAGCTCACACCCTGCCTTTCACCCCATTTCTAGCACGTGCGAGTTAACGAATACGACGGGAAATGCTGATATTCTCTCTCTTGCTTTCACCTAGCTATTCCCAGAAGTGGAGGAGGTGATGCTCCAGCCCCTTTGGGAATCCAGGGACCGCTATGAGGAATTAAAACAGATAGATGATGCTATGAAAGAAGTAAGCTCTAAATATCTCTTTGATAATTACGAATTAATAAGTCCAACATTTTAATTTAACAGCAGTTTAATTTCGAAAAAGTAGGAATGCTTATGGCATAATCATGAGAAAAACATTCATTACGCCTGGGTGGAGAAAGGCGTGTACCGTGAGCAGTAAGCACGCACAAGAGCATGCCCTCGCACAGCTGACCAGGCACTACACAAGTATGGCCGTGGGAAGGGAGCTGCTTGCAAGAGAGGGACAAAACCCGGAGATAACTGCTTGAGGGGAGAGTGTTAGCAAACACCTCTTCCTGGAGGGAGCTGCCTTCCCCTGGGAAGGAGTTAGCTCAGGCTAGATTGCAGCAAAATGTCCTGGGATAGGGCAGTTTGAGGCACTGCACCACCAATGCGTAAGTTTATTTTCTGGGAAGAAACTTCCACTCACATGTCTATCATGAAGGATGTGCTTGAAATTTTATGAGGGGCTACTCTCTAACACACAGCACCCAGTAGGATTAAACACACAACCAGTGAAACCATTTTATGGCCCAGGCTGAGCAAGGACTTCCATTTCCAGAGCATCTCTCGTTTTCACATGTAAGGCTTAAGGGAGGTGGGATATACGTGTGACCACATTTGCTGTCTCCAGCCCCGTCCGTGTTGCCTCAAGAGCCTGGCTCGCCTTCCTTGCACACTTTCCTTGCACGCCTCAGGAGCGGGCCTGCATGCCTCCCTTGCACACCTCTGCCAGTGCTGCTTTCTCCTGCCGAGGCAGACAACAAAACCAGCCTGAATGGCATTGCAGTCCAGGGGTTTTCTGAGATGAACAAATATATCGCGTAGACAGGGTATTATCAGTCACTCTGTCATTAAAATAAATTGGGAAGCGCCCTGGTGCACTCATTACGCTGATATTGTTTGGTCTGTGGGATATGAACGTTCATTCACTTGATCATCCGTGGCTGGATGAGGGGAATAGGAGCCTTCTGGTGTAGCTCCCACCTCCTCCCAAGTGCTTTGGAGGAAAAGCCCTTCAGCAGCACCAATCCCAAGGCTGGTTAATCAAAGAGCACATGCTTTGACAGCACTAGGTTATAAAGCAGAAGAAAGTCTTCTAGGCGTTCTTCAGTTTAGAGCAGAGCATTCCTCAAAGGAGGGAGGAACTCCTCAAATATGACTGCCAGACTTTCTGAGTCCTATTCATCTTTCAAGTTGAGCTTCTGGCGTACAGAAGCTGTCACAACAAAAATTGTATACAAACTGATGGAGCTTTAATTATGGCGTATTGGCACAGGAGGTCGTAGAACAACAGGAACGGCCTGAAGTCAGAAATGTCTTGAAACAAGAGGAGTTAATAATCCTAGAGCCTAGCACGGCAGATGACAAGAAACATCGAATGCTGTTTGCTCAGGACATACATCCAGAACTGTTTGGATTAAACAGTGCCTATGATATACCACGCTGCTGCCTGTTATTTCCCAAGAAATGTTGCACTTGCCTTGTGGAGAGGCAAGTGTTTGACTCGCGGCGGCAGTGGAAAGCAACACTGTGTGAATCAGGGGTATTAATCCTGTCTTGCTCTTCGTTTCAGTTGCAGAAAAAGAAAAGTGAAAGTCTGACCACCGGCCGTACCGAAAAGTGAGATGAAAAAGACTTTGTGCAAAACATAAACCCTAAGGTTATTTTGGTTTTGAGAAATACTGTATTTGCCGAACAGACGCGGTGGCTACATCAAAATCCAACTGGGACCACGTTCACGGAGAGGTGGCCAGCACGGGTGCCCTGCCTGCCCGTCCGCCTGCCTGGGCGCCTTGTCTACAGCCTACAGCCTGCTCGCGCAGGCGCTGCCGCCGTTGGGCTCCCTTCACTCCAGCACGCCCACCACAGCCCCCCGGCAGGACTTCCCTGCGGACGTCGCGCAGGTTGCAGCACGGCTCGAATCTTCAGCAGATTGGCCTGTTTGGTGACCACACTGACCACAGACTGTGGAGACAAAGTGGAGTTCAGCTAAGGAGTCTCTTCTGGAAACTGAGCCACTGGCTTCCAAAAACGAAAGAAAAAGTTGCTTATTCAAGATATTATATATACGTGTACAGCAGTATGCTACTTACAGCATAGCTTAACAGATGCTTCTATTCTGACAGGGGTCCTGGCATATATTTTTGTTTGCCTGGGAGGCCCTAATGACACCGTTCTCTCTATTACTCTCTGAATTTTGTAGTGTTCACAGTACATGCAGAATCCCAGCGTAGTGGATGCAAAATTTTTTTTGTTTTCTACACTAGAAGAAATCAGAAGAAACCTTAGTGAGTTTGCAGGTTTGCTTTGTGGCCTGATACAGCTCAATGTGACGGGACCATTCAGCACGAGCAAAGAAGGGAGCACAAAGCTGAAACCACTGTGCAAGCATATTTTTATCCTTGTGGATGCAAAAAGCAACAAGAAAAACCTTCAGAGATGTACAGATTTTTTTTTTTTTTACTTTTAAACTGATCTGCTAAATAATATATTCTTCTACAGAAATGGGTGTTGTACTTGTTTCTTTTGCGTATGCGTTCGCTGAGAACTGCCTCCGTTCCTAAAGATGAATGTTTTCATAACGAACACAAGGTAAGGGCTGTGAAGGAGAGGAGAGGGTCAGTTCTCCTGAGGAGGAGAAGCCTCAGAAACGATTTGGTACACGGTGCATCATAAGCGCAGTACCAAAGAAGCTTCACTTCCCTTGATGACTTCATAAAGGCTGGGTGCCAAGCTAGAGTATCACTTTAGCCTCTGCTAAATCCAATGCGTTGTCTTGGCTTGTTTTTCAAAAAGAGATGAGCAGGTGGGGGCCAATCTTCTCCCTTCCCCCCACCATGACCCAGGAAATACCTCAGCTCAGCCTCTCTGGCAGGTGACTAGTGCCAAGCTCACCACTGAACAGCAAACCCTGCCTCCTGCTCTGGAAATTGAGATTTATTGTCCTCTTGTTTCTGCATTCTGAGCTTAACTCTTGTTTCCCTCCCAGTGCCGTTTCCCATAGAATCATGGAATTGTTTTGTTTGAAAAAGACCTTTAAGATCATGTTTGGTCTCTTTCTTTTGCACAAAACTGTACTACTTCAGCTACTCTCTAATCTTGCAGGGGGATTGGCAGTACCTTGGAACATCCATTCCTCTACCCTATTCCAGATTGCACGTTTCCAGACACCCAGGACAGGCCCACAGCTAGTTCTCCTTGGCAGTGCCTCTTTTCTACCCAAGCTTCCTTCTCCTCTAAATAAATGGCTTTTTAGGTGGTTTGGGCTTTTTGCTGCAAACTGGGAAAGGGTCTGACCCCCGGATTTGAACAGTCCTGGGGGACCCCAAGGGAGATGGGAAGATCCAAGAGCAGGGTCACCTCCAAGTTACAGACATCTTCATGAATGGAGGAACTAAATCCTGATTTTGATTAACCTCAGACTTCCAACACTTGAAAGTTGGATCTGAGTTATGTGGTTTGGGCCTTTTTTCTGTACTAAATCTTATAATCCAAAGTACATTGTGACCCAGATTGTTCTGCTGTGGAATTCTTCACTTCTTTTTCACGAGTAAATCAAATTTACCATCTCCATTCAAGTGGATTTCCGTCACAAATCAGCTGTGCAGGAGCTATAAACAGTTGCTTGGGATATGCCAAGTCCTGCACGGAGCTGGTTACATTAAATGAAAAAACCTGCTGCGGGAGCTTGACTGCACCGTTCTCCCACTAAAACTGTTTTAGTTCCTGATAGGAAGATTGGTTTCAGCTGGAAGGATTTTCCCTAACTGTAAACCCTAATCCAACACGTATCCATGCATGCGCTTAACTCCCACGAGCCGAGTTGTGGGCCCTGGCGCACAGCAGCCAATTGCGCAGCGCAGGCTCACTCCCCTTCTCTGACTGCGGTGCGTGGGATTTTGAGAATCAATGGCCCTTGGTGCTTGTTTTGGCTCCCTCATTTTTAAGAGCAACTTGAAAACTGCTGGAGAGAGATGATCAGAAGACGTCAGTGAAATCCCTCTGACTTTCTTGGAGCTGCATCCGAAACGTGGAGAAGGGAATGCAGCCTGCCCTCAGGGCTGCACCAGTGACCGTGGTGATGCTGCGACGCGCTGTGCAGCTTGTTGAAAGAACAGGCAGCCTCCAGGCTGCTATTCACACGCAGCTGTAAAAAAAGACCACATACAATCACAACCAGCTATTGGTATAAGTGGGAATACCACAGCATTTTTTAATCCCATTTGCCTTTGTAATATTAGATTTCTAAGAGACGATCCTCCCAACGTATGTTTAACCACAGGGAATGCAAGGCATTCTCTCCTAATTCTGGTTTCTTCTACTTCTTCCATAATGTTTGATGCTGTGATTCATATGCAAATTAACAGATTTGAGAAACTTGGCAATCAGCCCATTAAAATGTCACACGTTTTCAGGACCACATTTTAAAAACACACTTAGCATGAAAACGAAGTTTTTTGAGGCAGACAGACAGATGTCTCAAGTGTGATTTAACCTTTTCTCTCCCTAGTCCCGTGAATAAGACTAAATATTACATCTCAGTGTTGTTGTTTCAGCTTATGGTAGGTGCCTTACGAAGAACTTTCTATGATCTGCTGCGTGCATCTTTTTGGCATCATGAGAGTGCCACACGCATCCCAGCCTTACCTTCCAACTCCCACACCTGTGACCAGAGGTGAACATGGAACAGGTTATAAGTATTCCATGCCATTCAGTTTGGAAAACTAACAATGAGCACTGGGATTTTACTTCTTATTTTTATAAGAAGATGAGATCCCTCAGTCCCGTACTCAATTCATTTTTTAGTATGGCTTTCATAATCGGCTCAAACTAAGGCGATAGCGTAACTGCATGTCTTGGGAAGGAAACAGCTTTTTAAAAATGTGAACACCTCCACAGCAGCCAATTTGCAATGAAAATTTAGTGTGTGTTAAATACACAGGTTATGTAATGCCAAAGAAGTATCTGTTCACGGAAATTGTTAAATCTCAGTGCTGCCTCTGAGCAGCAATAAACAGCAGCATCTGTTCCATATGGGAGCGAAGCAGAGCGCTGGTGCGGAGTACGATTCCAGCCGGAGAAGCACTGTCAAGCAGCATTCAATTTTCCTGTTTAAACAGTGGGCTTTTCCTGCGAACTGCCCCTCCTCTCTGGAAACATCTGAAGAACAATTCTTACCTTTCTGTCTGGTTTGAGGCATAAAAAGCACACATGCACTTCTTGTTATCCTCCTGGCATGTTGTTCGGTTTTGTTGTGAAGGTTTCTGTGAGAGACCAGACACAGTGGGGCAAATCACCTACCCTACTGAGGTATAACCTCCTCCTATTTACCTCTTTCCCACACTATCATCTCCTTGATTTCTCTGTGGCACGGTGGGCAGACAAAACACAGCAACATGCCTGTTAGTGAGGAGGAGCACTCGGCGCCAGCCTGCAGGAAGGGTGCATGTGAAAGCACAGCTCTGAGGGAGAGCCCTCCAGCTGCTGCTCTGACTCCCAGTGTACTAAAAACTACTTTCCAAGGGGTTGCTCTGGAATTGGGCACATCCCAGCTCCAGGCTGTGGTGCAGAGGACCTGCCGCCCTGAGCCACCCTCTCTCCGTATGCACAACTCAGCCACGCAGCACCCTTGTGATTAAGGCTGTCCAGCGCCCGCAAAGCGAAGCAAAGGCTTTCCAAACTGTGTTCAAAACTGGTTGGATGTTGCTTTTCTCAGTACGTGGCAGTGCAGTGGGACATCTCTCCTTTCTCTCAGCACTCTCAGGCAGTGCCTCGGCAGAGGTGAAGCTTGTCCTCTGAAACACTGGCACATGGGTCTGTGTGCGGGTGCTATGACAGCACAGGAAACCAGTAAGTCTTATTGCTACACCGAGCTCTGCACTGGCTTCAGATACCACCTGGGGAGAGTCACCAAGCCAGGGCTTCCCCCGCCTTTCAGAGACCCACCCTTGTACAGCACCTTGTGGTATTCGGCTGTAAAATGCTCCTCGCTGCAAGAGGAAGAGTTACTACTTCGAGAAAACAGCACTTCATAGAAACTGCTAGCCAAAAAATCCTATTAGATGAATAAGTTCATTCTTGTAAATGAAGAAGCTGTAACAGACAAGTCAAACATCTCTTTCTTCATGATCATGTTGTAATAGATCTGGCTCTTAGCGAGTGAGAAGCCATACTCCTCACCATCCCACACACACAAAAGCCTTCTGATTATTTTGGCATGTAATCAGGAATTACAGGTGTACTCAGGCACACGCACACACACAAAATGGCTATCTGGGAACATTTTTATAATACCACTCTTGGCTCTGTTGCAAGACAAACTTAGAACCAGGAGGGTTTGGAAAGTGTAAGCTAGTCTTGTCACCACCACCGTTTGCTATAATGTCTCTGAGGAAGAAAACCCCTCTGTTTCCCAAACTGTGCGGAAGCGCACTCACTGCCTGGCTGACAGACCTGGCAGATCCTCTGCCCTAGAGGAAGCTCCAAGGTGACAGGGACTTGGAGAAGCTCTATTTCTTTGTAGATTAAGAGCTTGCTCTCAGCCCACTGATGGTGTTCTGGGTTCAGGACAGCTGGGACGCTCTCCAGGCTGAAAAATGCAACAAGAAAGTCAACACGAAGACG